AATTATTCTAAACCAGATGGATTCACTAGTGAATTCTTCCAAACCTTTAAAGAGGATCTACTGCCAATTCTTTTCAAGATTTTCGAGGAAATTGAAGAAACAGAAACATTCCCAAATAGTTTCTATGAGACAAATATCACGCTGATATCAAAAGTAGAGACACCACATATATATACAAAAAATTATAGGCTGATATTCTTGATGAACACAGATGCAAAGATCCTCAACAAAACATAATCTAACAACTCATCAAGAAGATCATACAGCATGAGCAAGTAGGATACATCCCAGGGATGCAATGATGATTTAACATTCACAAGTCAATCAACATAATATACCATGTCAATAAAAGAACAGATAAAATCTATATGCTCATACTAATAGATACATAGAAAGCATCTGACAAGATCCAGCACTCATTCATGATAAAAACTCTTAACAAAATGAGAGTTGAAGGAACTTTCCTCCATAAAGTAAAAAACATCTTACACAAGTCCTCAGCAAGTCTTGATCTAAAAAGGGAAAATAAAATAAGATTCTTCTCTCTGATATCAGGCACAAGACAGGGTTGCCCACTCTCTCCCTCCTACTCAATATAGTACTAGAAACACTTGCCATAGGATTTAGATGAGAAAAATATATCATGGGCACCCAGAGAAGAAAGGAAGCAAGTCAAGCTTTCACTATTTGCAAATGACATGATACTGTACTTAGAAAATCCTGAAAACATCACCCCAAAAATCTCACAGAAACAATACATTCATATAGTAAAGTGACAGGTTACAAAATCAATACCCAAAAGTCCATGGTTTTCGTGTATGCAAACAATGAAAGAGAAGAAAGAGATATTAAAAAAAAAGATTCGTAATTGTGTCTCAGAAAATCTATTACCTCGGAACCAGCTTAAATAAAGAGGTAAAGGACCTATACAAAGAAAACTACAAAACACTACTTCAAGAGACAAAGGAGGACATGAGGAAATAGAGATACATCCCCTGCTCATGGGTTGGAAGAATCGGCATTGTTAAAATGGCAATACTACCCAAAGAAGTACAGAGATTCTATGCAGTCCCTATAAATATATCCATGAAATTTCCCAAAGAAATAGATCAAATACTCCTGGAATTCATATGGAACAATAACCTCCCACAAATAGCTAAATCAATCCTTGAGAAAAAGAAGATGGGAGTTAACACCTTCTCCAACTTCAAACTGTACTACAAAGTGGTAGTAATAAAAGCATCATGGTAACTGGGATAAAAGACAGGCCCCACAGATGGAATAGAGCAGAATAGCCATCCTGACACAGACCCTTGAATATATGATCATTTAATCTTTGATATAGGAACAAGAAAACTGAAGTGAATAAGGAAAGCCGCTTCAACAAGTGGTGGGGGGAAAAACTGGGCAGCTACATGCAAAAAAAAAAAATGAATTCAGACCTCTTTCTAATTCGATGCACAAAACCAGACCAAAATGGTCTAAAAACCTCAGGCCTGAATCCATAAATTTCATGGAAGAAAATGTAGGCTGAACCCTTCATGACACTGAAGCCAAAGCAATCTTTAAAGATGAAATACCACTAACCAAGTAAGGGGAAGCAAAGTTTAACAAATGGGATTACATCAAACTAAGAATCTTCTGCACCTCCAAATAAACAATGACCAAGACCACGGAATGGATAAAATTATTTACCCAATACCCATCTGATAAAGGGTTAATATCCAAGATATATAAGGCACTGGTAGAACTTTACAAAAAAAAATAAAAAACATTAACCCAATTGAACAGTGGGGAGAAGAAATGAACAGAGACTTCCTCAAAGAAGAAATACAAATGGCCAAAAGGCACATAAAAATGCTTTATGTCCCTATTTGTCAAGGAGATGCAAATCAAACAATAAAGAGATATCATCTCTCACCACAGAGACAGGCACGCGTCAAAAAGAACAAGAACAACCAGTGCAAGTGCTGATGGGGAAGAAAGGGACTCTCCTTTATTGCTAGTGGGAATGCTGACTGGTTCAGCCTTTTTGGAAAACAATATGCACATTCCTCAAAAAATTAGAAACTGAGTTTCTGTATTACCCAACAATACCACTTCTAGGACTATACCCTGCCCCCCCCCCCCAAAAAAAATACTGCAGAAATGCCATCTATATTTCTATGTTTTTTTGCAGTACTATGCACAATAACCAGAATCTGGAAACAACCCAAGTGCCCAAGAACAGATGACTGGTTAAATTATAGTACATCTACATAATGGAATACAATGCAGCCACCAAGAGAAATAAAGTCATGAAATTTGCTTATAAATGGATGGACACTGGGAGTATAATGCTGAGTGCTGAGTGAAATGAGTCATGAGGAGAGGGACAGACATAGAATAATTGCACTCATTTGTGGGATATAAGGAAACATAGTATGAGACTAATGTCCAAGAAGAGTAGAAACAACAGTCAGGAGGACTAGTCCAAGGTTGAAAGCTTGCCACAGGTGTTGGGGGGCGGGGATAGAGAAGGGACCGCTATGACAATGAGAGTCGGAAATTTGGACAAGGACTGAGTATGTAAAGGGAGAAACATAATAACCTTTCAAATCTGTATTGCAAAGCATAATTCCCCAAAGGAAAGAAAGAATAATAGAGCAAGAGAGAGAGAGAAAGAATGAAAGTGCCTGCCATAGACAGAGGCTGGGGTGGAGTAGGTATGAAAGGAAACTGGTGATATTGGTTGTGGGAAATGTACACTAATGAAAGGACAGATGTTGGAACACAGTATGACTGAAACCCAGTAAAAAACAACTTTGAAACTGTGTATCTCATGATGATTCAACAACAAAAAAATTTTTTAAAAAAAACACCAAATCTGTGGCACATTTTGGAGGGACAGTAGAGAGGGGTAAGTTCTGCCTTGCATGTGGCTGACCTGGGTTCAATCCTTGCAGTGCTCATGGTCCCCGGAGCACTGACATTAGTAATCCATGAACACAGAACCAGGAGTAAACTCTGAGCCCTGCTGGATGTAGCCCCAAAATATAAATCTTTGATACACTTTTCATTTGAGTTATAAGATATCAACATATGTTTATATAATTTATGTGTTTCATAAATATTTTGGGCTGGAGCGAGAGTACAGTGGTAGGGCATTTGCCTTGCACACAGCCACCTGGCCGAGCTGGGTTCAATTCCTCCTCCCCTCTTGAAGCGCTCGGGAAGCTAACAAGAGTATCTCGCCCGCACGGCAAAGCCTGGCAAGCTACCCGTGATGCATTCGATATGCCAAACACAGTAACAATTGTCACAATGGAGACATTACTGGGTCCACTCGAGCAAATCGATGAACAACGGGAGGACAGTGACAGTGACATAAATATTTTATCCCAGTATGTATATTTATTTCCTTGAAAGTGTTAGAATGTCATTTAATTGTACATTTTAAAAAATTTTAGGGTCAAAAATTATGAAAAACAATTGTAATAATAAAACAATTAATCAAAATAATATTCAAAAGTTTTCTTTTCAGTTTTAGGACTACTTAGTGGTTACTCAGGGGTTACTCCTGGCTCTGAATTAAAGGATTACTTCTGGCAGTGCTCTAGGGACCGCATGGAATACCAGGATCAACCCCAGGTCAGCTGCATGCAAAGCAAACACCCTACCCTCTATATTTTTCTAATATTTTTTCACTATTTTTAATGATATTTTAAATTGAATCATTGTGACTTAGACCCTTACAAAGATGTTCAGGTTTTAGTCACACAGGGTTACAACATTCAGTGCACATTTCCCAGCACCAGTGTCCCAGTTTCCCTCCCATCACTGCCTCCATCCCCGACCCTCACCCACAACAGCCTGCCACTAGGCTGGGATATCTCTCTCTCTCTCTCTCTCTCTCTCTCTCTCTCTCTGGGCTCGCTCTTGCTCCCTCTCTCCCCCTCTCTCTTTCCATTGTGGTTTGCAATACAGATACTAAAAGGTTATCATGTATATTTCTTTACGTACTTTTAACACTCACTTCTTGTCCAGCATGACCATTTCCATCTATTGTCATTCAGGTTCCTTCTCTATCCAACTGCTGACAAGTCCTCCCAGCTCCTGTTTTCCCTGGCCTTGGATACTAGTCTGACACACACCCTTAAATATATGATCATTTAATCTTTGATAAGCAAGCAAGAAATAAGAAGTGGAGCAAGGAAAGCCTCTTTAACAAGTGATGCTGAGAAAAAAGGATAGCTAAGTGAAAGCGAACGGACTCAGACCTCCACCTAATGTCACGCATAAAAGTCAGATCGCTACACTAATTTTAAGTATACTTTTTACTATTTTTCTTCACAGAATTATCAAAGCATTACTGATGATAAATTATTTCACTGTATATTCAAGCAAGGATGTTTATGAAGTTAGTATTTCCCCAAAACATATTCTGTCAGAACTTCTTATTACATGGTTTATAGGGTGAATTAACTCAGATATTGTCATATTACTATTATTACTTTTAGATTTGCATTTGCCTTTAAATTCACGTTGAAATTTGGTACTATGAATATTCTAGTTTATTTATCTTGATTTCATGTTATATTATTTCTATATATAATTTGACACACACATGAAATGGGACACTCATTATTAAGAGAAATAACAGTTAATTTCTTCAGTATTCATTGCATTTAATTTTAAAATATTTTATTGCATTTAGAAGCTTTTTCAGATTTTTTGATATTAAATACTTTGAAGAGTAAATATTATTGAGGAATTAAGCATGGAATAGTACAGATAGTATTGATTACATACTTAAGTCTTCTATTTTTTGAATATTAGATATAAACAGATTGCTCATGTCTAGTTTTGAATTCAAAACCTTTGAAGAACTAATACACTGAAATAATTGTGTCACCAAAATGAGATGCTCCTAGAGAATATGGGAATATTTATGTGCATATTTAGAATGATTAGACTTTCAGATTGACAGACTACAAAAACAATGAAAAGGTGATACTCACATCTGAATTAAAGCGAAGCTGACAGACATTACAAGAAATCACTTGTTTCTTCTTTGGGGGAATGGATACTCCAAATGTGTGGTTAATGACAGCTTTTTGCACAGGATCCATCTGAAGAGAAAAATGGCAAAGTAGTCAATTCATGAATTGCTAAGGATAGTCAATAGAGAGAATTTTTTATCATATAATTACTGAAGATTTTAATTTTTAGCTTTAAACATCTTGCTGAGTAGTAAAGTATCTGCTTTCAAAATTAAAAACAATTTAAAATTTAAAAATTGCAGAAATATCACTAAGTCCCAAGAAATCTACATGAGAAGTTCTGAAAAGCTTCAAAAGAATCATAATTAAGAAAACGTGAGATCCAAAAATCATGGTTAAAAATAAATGGCCAATGTTTTCCCTATCACTGTATCACTGTCATCCTGTTGTTCTTCCATTTAGTAGAGTGAGCACCAGTAGCATCTCCATTCGTCCCAGCCCTGAGATTTTAGCAGTCTCTCCTTACTAATCTTTCCCAACTTACTGTAGGCTCTTTCAGGGTTATGGGAATGAGATCTGTTATTATTACTGATTTTGACATATGGAATACATCATGGCTAGCTTGCCAGGCTCTGCTGTGAGGGCGGGATACTCTCAGTAGCTTACCGGGCTCTCTGATATATATATATATATATATATATATATTTAAATATTTATATATATGTAAATATATATTTATATATATATATAAATATATATATATATTTCTCTATCAAATATGGTGTGGTAATTCTGGGAAATGGTAAGGATTGTCTTATGATGTGTCCAGGAATATTTTCACTCATATGTGAGGCTCAGTCCGAGCATGTGGAAAGTGGCCTGGAGCATGATGGCGGTTGGGTAGTGGTTGGCTGCCGGGGCTGGGTTCCTTGGGGCAGGGAGGGCTCTCACCCGCCCCCCTCCAGGGTGCCCCGAGTGAAAACAGCCTGGCATGAAGTTGGGTGTCATGGTTAAGGGGGCCTCATTTAATACTTCTGTCTGGGAGGAGTATCCGTGAGTAGTTTTCCCTATATATGATGATAATATTTATGGTAGTTTCACATAACCTCAATGTGATTGTGGATAAGTTTAATAAATTTATAACATTTTCATATAGGCTAAATACCTAAATGACATACTTATAGCAGAGCAAATGTCAAGTCTTTTGAAAATAATTAGTTTTCATGTACAAAAGACTGAAATTCCTTTTACTAAAAACACATGTACACTGAAATGTCCTTAATTGATTAGTTTATATATAACTCCTTTTAAAATACCTAACAGAATTTTGACTTCTAAACTGTGATTTTTCCTCCCTTTGCTTTGCTAATACGATACATACTCAGAGAAATATGAAATGATGGGAGTATTCAACAACAGAAAAAACATGACTCTAAGGCACCACCCATACTTAAAAACAAAAGAGAACACTGTCATAGTCTGTAAAAAGAGACACAACAATGATTCCCTTGTATACTCCAGGTACTCTCTGATATTAATTCAGACAACTGGCCATTCAAAAAACAATGTGGACGACAAGCAAAGCATTATTGATAAAAAGATGCAACATGCACAAGGATAGAAGAAAATTTTCTGAAGTTAGAGTCTAGGATTAGATAAATTCATAGTATTTGGTAGAAGTTGAGAAATGAATATTATGCCTGATTAGACATCCACAAACTATAAAGCTGGCAATTAAAGTAACTAAACACATTAGAAAGAAAAGTGGATTATGGGCTCCATTGAAGAGTAAATAAAGTAGCCAACTGTCATTTGCTATAAATTTAATACAGATGACAGGACAACGTACTCCCACTACAATGAACATTTACATGGTTTGAGACACGTGGAAAGGCAAAGAGGAAAGTTCTCTAAGTAAAACAATTCTGTATCTTAATTTTATGATTTCTGTCATACGCATGTACTACAAATTATTGTTCATATCATACCTTTGCTTTACAACAATATGAATTTTAAAAACTTTTTTAAAAACAGTAATGAAATTCACAAAAGCTTAACTTATCCACAGTAAAAATAATTTATATATTTAAAAAAAAAGAGCCTCTTATAGAAGCAGATTGGTTTAAAGGAGTCAAATTGGGTTGGAGGTTGGAAGCATTGGTGTAAAGAAGAGGAGGGATTAGTGTTGTAAAATTGTAAGGCTCAAACTTCAACATGAAAAACTTTGTAATTTTATGGTGACTAAAAATGAATTTATAAATTTTTTAACGAAAAAAGAAACAGTAAGGGAACAAAAAAATGGTCAAAGTCATCAAAATGGAAGATTTTTCTCAGTAGAACTTAGCTCACATGATGGAAAGTATGATAGTGGAAGGTTGGGAGGGGACCTTGGGAAGAAAATGGCTTCTCTTTTGGTGGATATGGTGTTGGAATTATGTATACACAAAAAGTGTCATTAATACTATTGTAAATCCCAGTACTTCAATAACAATAGTTTAAAAAACAATTGGTTATATGTGTTCTTTACTATAACTTATTTCAAACATTTATTGAAAGTTAAATCTAAAAATTAAATTTCGATCATCTATAAAAATGCACATATGCTGTTTTCACACCACAACATAGAAATGCACAAAATATACAACCATAAAAATCTTTCTAAAATTTTAGTTGACAATTCTAACATGAACATTGCATATAAACATTTCCCTAACATTTTTGAAGCTTTTTACTGCCTAAAGTGTAAATAAACTTTAAATTCTACTCAAATCTTATATTAGCAACACACCAGCTGAGCTCGAGCTGTATCTCCAAAGCTGAAAGCTTTCTGTCCTGAAAGGTGAATGGATACACCTTTAGGTCCGAATACAAAAGCAGGTCAGTTCCTAGCCATATGTCTTCTGAAAACCAAACTAAGAAGGTTTTTTTCAGAAATGCTCACTAAAGTAACTTTTCATTTTTTTAAATCACTAATCCTACTCATCCTCATAAAGTAAACCAAATTAAGTCCAAAGAAATGACTCTATGGGATAGTATGCATGCTTTGCATGCCCTGGGTTTGATTCCTGAGCACCAGGCACAAGCAGGTGGAAGTAGGCCCCAATCACAAATCAACTAAGACACAGGCCTTTTTACCCCATTCTTGCTACTTACAATTGACTCCTACTGCCTTCCCATCTTTTGAATAACATAATAATAAATCAAAAGAAAATCATATACCCAGTGTTTCGTATTAAAAAATGATTTTCTTTGTTTTTCCATTTGAGTCTCTTTTCTTGAACTTCTTTAGGGAAAAATTCCTCCATTTTTTCCCTAAATCTCTACCTTTCTCTGATGTTTATTACAGTATTCTAAATTATATTTTTATTCAAATACCATTTGGGCAATATAATTTAGCTGAACGAACACTTTAAATAGTTTATAAAAAAGAATGCTCCACTTGCCAATTTATCTCATACTTTGACATACAGAGTTGAGCTAGTGTTTCGAATATTCTGCCTGAGTCATCTCAGAGGATTTGGATACTTGAGTCATTTCAGAAAATTCAGACTTGAAAATAATAAAGAGAAGGCTTTCAGCATTTCTCTCTCTCTGCATAATGTGGTAGTCTAATGTGATAAAGTCCTAAATAAGAATTTTCCTAGCTTTCCTACAATTCTCTAAAAGTTAAACGAAAATAATTATAGTTCCAAATTATATAAGGTTAGAGTCTTTCCTCCACTAATGCAATGTCAGTTCTCCGTATTCATGACACTATGTATAACTAAATCGGTGGTAATGCCTTTATTCAATCACCAGTTTTCAGGATGAATAAAACATTCATGATGAATAAAAGCTTTTTCATAAATCCTAAAATGTGATAAAGCAAGTGATTCAATTCGTAATAGTCAAAACCATGTAACTATTTTATCTTTTTCTACTTATTTCACATGTGTAGTATTCAGGAAAATTCTTGGAGGTACTACAATTAAATTCTTATATTTTATAGATTCAATTAGTATTTTGTATCTATCAAAAATAGACAAGTGTTTTCAAAATATTTTATTAAAGTTTTATCACTTAATTGAACAAGCCTTGTTGAATACTCAAATTAGCACATTTAAGTTCATCATGCATATGTCTAGGATAAAAAGTCTGATTCAATGGTGAATAATGCTAAAGAAACTTTTTATCTTTTAAGAAAAAAACTATCTCATAGTACTACCTATCAGTATTATTTATCTGGAAAAATTTATTGGTTGCAAATAAACCTTTTCTTTTCTAAAACTAGTAAAAGTTTTAAGAAATCAACTGGAATTTTGTAACTAGCAAGCACGTTTGCATGAAAATTAAAAAAAATATTTTCCTTGCTTCATTTTCCTTCCTTAAATGCTTACTAACTAAAAAGCAGCAAGAGTTAACAGTTGCCACTTTGTCTAATGAGAATCATGTAGAAATGAAAAGCAAAACCTATTAGTGCAATTAACTGGCTGGTAATAAAAATGAAAGATGGGGTTGCGGCGGCTACCAAGAATTGAGGGGATAATTGGAGTCTACGTATGGACAAATTAACTACTATATTATAGTACTTATGAACTGAATTAATGAAGCTGGCCTTATCACTCAATCTATTATATTTCAAAACCAAAATAATAAACATTGCTTTGGTGTACTCAGTAATATTATGAAACCACAAGTCTGTGTGAATTTTTACAAAGATCATTACTTTCACTGATATGCCAAAAAGTAATTTATATTTACATAGCGTAAGAAAATAATATAAAAACATGCAGCTGCAAATATAACTTAGCCACAGGGGGAAAAAACCCACCACGGTACTTCACTAAAGGCTGGATGAACGCTGTGGGAAGGGTGAGAATCTAAGATGAGGGCTCCATGATCAAATGACATCACAGCTGACATTGTTTATTTTCTAGGTAATTTTGTTAGGGTGAATTTTAGGCAAAGAAAATAGAATTAGAAATTTTGGAGGATCTCAATAATTTTGAGGAGACTGGAAATTTGTATTATTTTCTTCTAAGGCTCTTAATATGATTTCTAGTCCTCAGGATGTGATCACTAGCTACCAAATTGGTTGGGTATGGAAGTCATTTGAGTATCACTCAGTCAAAAAGAAAAAAAAAGACAGT